GCTGTTTTTTCTATTCATCCAACCATTCCTTAATAATTACTCTTTGTTTAAAAACACAGATACTTAAAAAATGTTTTTCTCTAGCTACAGTTTCCTTAATCTCCAGATATGTTGAATGAAAGCTGCTTTGTAACATCATATCATTGTACAAAAGTCGTATATAACTAATGAAACTTTTAACACTTAGGTAATTCAAAAATCTGACAAGTTCAACAAAGAATGAACAATTTTTACTTGTTGATATTTTAAAAGGTGAAATTACTGGGATTGTAACCAGCTTGCTATAACTTATAATACAAGCCTTTACCAAATTCACTTTTTGGCTAAATGTCAAAGTTATTCTGTTAAACTAAGTAGTTTTTATACCTGTCCCAGAACAGACTTCTCTGACATTCTGTTGTTATCACTGTCCAACATTTTCCTCAGCTGAACTTCACTGTAAACACATGATGGACGAGAATGACGAGCAATCAGCTCTTGGAAAGCCACACGTTGATGTTCCTGAAAGAAGTGTTTGTTATTTTTCTTCTCATGAGTAAACAACTCAATTCAACAACTGTAAAACTGTGAGAAAGAAGGCATACATGTTTTGGTTAAAAATACAATATTACCTCACCTGTTACAGAGCAAAGGTTAGAGTAGGTGTTTCATAAACCAGACATTTCAAAGTAGGCATTCTATCACAACAAAGATTTAAAAAAATTAATAAAATTACAATCCTTATAAGATGAAAACTTTTATTTTAAGCATATTATATTATATTAAAAACGCTTTATTATGAAATCTTAATGAAAAACAAAAAGAGAATTTAATTTTAATCAAGTCTCTGTTGCAAAAGGCCAATTCAGTGAAGCATAATTTTGAATTAATAATTGGTGTGATATCGCATCACAATAAGTGATCAAAACAACTATAACTTTTAATGTAATATAACACCATATACCAATTAAGTAAATTCCAATCAATATCAGTTAAGAAAAAAACTATATGTTAATGCAATCAAATTATGAAGTATTTTGTGCTACCAACAAATGATATTAAGTTTCACAAGCTTTTTATTTAAGCACAAATTAAGTAAAAAATGCAAGTTAATTAAAAATTAATTTACAAAATTATACAGTTAATTACTTGACTGGTTTTGATGTACCACCTTCGCCATTTTCAAGGGTATTGAAAAGTGGTATGTCCAAATTAGTCAGGTAATTAATTGTATATTTTTGTAAATTTATTTTTAGATAATTTGTGTTTCACTTTGATTGTGCTTAAAAAAACTGTTAATCTTGATATCATTTGTATCTTAACTTGTTATTAATTTGTAGATGTGGTCAGCTGTTCTTTGTGAAAAGAACAAAACAGAAGTTTAAGCTCTCATTTCTGCATGCAACTATTACAATGAGCATGTTCAAGGTTCTCACTACCTCTCAAACCATATTACATGGTTTGTCAATTTTTTTATTTTTTTGTTGTTGTTGTTATTTTTGACAAAAAGAGAAATGTTAAGACTTCATCTTTATTTTCTTTGGCCATTTTTCTATGTGAATCAAGTTTCGCACAAAATGGGTAATTTGGTGGATAAAGCCTTTGAATTGACAAAAACTAAGAATATTTTTAATCCAATCTTAAAAGAAAAAAAAAACAATAAAAAATTTTGTATCTTTTTTTGCATAGTAAATGAAACTGTGATCATAATTAGTTTCTTTTCTAAAAGAGTTAGTTGTTAATTTAAAGATGGTCATTGCTATACATTTAAATGCTAAAAATTCTCACATCAGTTGATGTTGCACTGCTTTCAGAATCAAATCTCTTCCTTCTTGAGATATACAAGGATCCCAAACCAGAGTCGGAACTGATGCCAAGACTTGTGAAGTCATCTGCTTCATCTTCACTTCTCTCTTCATATTCTTCATCCATGTCATCACTGCTTAAGCTGATGGTACGGTTTCCACTGTCTCTTCTTCTGCCGGGGATATACGAGTGTAATGGAGAGTCAAATATTTCACTATCTGAAGGGCTTCCTTGAGATGATGATCCACTATAAGTACGTGTGCGAGCACGTAAAAATTCAGTCAGATGCGATCGCTCATACTCAGATGGAAGAATACAGATTTCTTCTGTACCACGAACTCTGGTCTTGCACTGGCGCTTAAAAATCAAATTAAATTGATATTATACTCTCCATCTTCGACCTCATCAAAAAAAAACTCTTGTCAAACTTTAAAAAAACACTAAATAAAATATATTACTTTCAATGCTTCTTACACTTGATGCAATTTTTCTTTAATTAAAATACAAATCTAATTACTCTTATAATATGTCTTACAATTGTGAAATATTTCCTCGGTAATTTTGGAATTCAAAAGAAACAACATGTATGGGAATTCAAAAATTTCCAAATATCAGAGCAACTAAACACTCATTTACCCCTTTCCTAAGAAATAAATATTTATTTTACAAGACTAAAATCTGGGATTTAGTTCTCCCTGGTGGATAGAGTGCAAACAGCCCATTACGTAGCCTTATACTAAACATCAACAACAAATATCATTAGGTTGTTGTACAACAAAAATATATCTTATTTAATCATCTAAAAACAGACAATGTTTAAACTACACACCTGCAACTGTGCCATCTTTCGATTGGCTTTCTTCTCTGGTAAAGCAAGATCAAAAGGTGAAAGGTTCAGGCTGTGACAGATGCTGTTACATACATGTGAATGGAAAAACAATGCCATTCCTTTAGTTCCCAAGTTTCCATCTCCATATTCTTTTCCTGAAGATGTATGAATCTGTGGGTCGGTGTAGAGGTCATCAACCCCTTGAATGTCAACCACAATCAATTCATGGCCTGACCTTTCAAAGGTAAAATGGCTGAAAGCCTAAAGAATCCAGAGATTTTAGAACAACATCCTCTATATTATACTAGTCTTTTTATCAGTATTTCTTAACTACTTATTCAACACAAAGTTAAACAATGGTTGAAAATGAGAATCAGGAAGATTATACTGTTATATATACACACACACATAGAAAACATCTCTCAACTAGTTTAAATTTCTTTTAGCCTGTAAGTACAAATGTACTTTAAAAACATTACATACACTATTTATTGGAGTATTAATATACACTTATTCCAAACATCTAATTCTGTTATAAAAACCAAAGAAGACTAGTTACCACACATTATTTCATTAGAAAGAAATGTAGTGTCTCACCTGAGGGGTTAGACGAAGCCCTTCGCTAGATATAAAACCAGAGTTTGAATTATACTTGATGTATTTACCCTCAATATAATGTTCTAAGTGATACAAAGGCTTTCCAGGTCTGTTGTAGAGTTCAATCACACACATCTGAAATATGTCCACCTTTAGGAAAAAATATTAGCATTTTATTTTATTAGAATATGCTAAATAGTTTGACTCTCCAACACTAACAAAAAAAAAACATTATTTAAAGCCAAACCATAAAAGAACAGTAAGATAAATTTTTGTATAAAAGAATAAAATTATTTGTTTAAAGAACTGTTGAGGACTTAACCAGTTATGAATTCTGAGCAGGATTTTTTTTTTACCAACTTGTTGGAAGTGATAACTTATAATAAGTTATCCAAACTACCATAACAAGTAGTTGTATTCAAAATATAGAATTCTAGATTAAAAGGTTTAAGTGCATTATATTAAAACAAATTTGAATATGCATATCAGAAATAATTGGACAACCACAGCCAATATAAAGTTGCAGTGGAACAGTATGTATAAGAACTACATTTGACATTGCATGGCATTCCTAGGTAGTGTGTTTCCACCAAAAAGTGATCGCTTTGGGGAAAGGTATGTAACTGCCTTGTGAGACAAAAATACACTCAAACCTTAAAGATGTATCAAGATTGAGGGTTTAGAATTTCTAAGATGGGAATATTTCTTTTACTTAATGGCACTGGAAAACAAAGGAATATAGATCAACATGGGGCATCAGGATTATTCAGAAAGAGACCTGCAACAAATTGTACCCCCAGTTACAGTAAGAAAAGTGCAACATTGTGTAACAGGTGAGAATCCCAAAGAAAAAGGTCAATGACAAGCCCTTTTCTTAGATTAGCCTATATCAGCTTAAGTAACTGTTTGATGGGCTAAGAAAACTACCAAAAAAAAGTATATATGTAAATTAATATAAAATTTATTTAAAATTACTACATATAGTTAAACAAAATCTTCTGATTAACAATTTAAAAACCTCCGATCAGTTTGCTTATAATTTTTTGTTAAATTATGTGCCACTAATTGTACAAACAGTGAAACTGTGTGGAATCTTTTTTGAATAGAAAATAAATAAAAATCAGTAATTCAAATCTACAATAAAGGTAAACATTTCTTAACTGCTTCTTAAAAAACAGATCACAATGAAATATTTTCACATTTTGAAAGCCCCAGTTCATACAGATATCACATATAAAAAATAAGATATTCTATTTGCACAATCTATATAATCTGTATAACTGTTCTTTCTTTTAAAGTTTCAAACTATTTCCTCCAGTAGTTCTTTGTTTTACGATTCAATACAACAAAAGATATAATAGTTGCATCAAATCAATGCACCTCAAACTATTTCCTCTAGTAGTTCTTTGTTTCATGATTCAATACAACAAACCGTATAACAGTTGCATCAAATCAATGCACCTCAAACTATTTCCTCTAGTAGTTACATCAAATCAATGCATCTCAAACTATTTCCTCTAGTAGTTCTTTGTTTCATGATTCAATACAACAAACCGTATAACAGTTTCATCAAATCAATGCACCTCAAACTATTTCCTCTAGTAGTTCTTTGTTTCACGATTCAATACAACAAACCGTATAACAGATACATCAAATCAATGCACCTCAAACTATTTCCTCTAGTAGTTACATCAAATCAATGCACCTCAAACTATTTCCTCTAGTAGTTGCATCAAATCAATGCATCTGAAACTATTTCCTCTAGTAGTTCCGTATTGAATCATGAAACAAAAACAAAAGATATAACAGATACATCAAATCAATGCACCTCAAACTATTTCCTCTAGTAGTTCTTTGTTTCATGACTCAATACAACAAACCGTATAACAGATACATCAAATCAATGCACCTCAAACTATTTCCTCCAGTAGCTCTTTGTTTCATGACTCAATACAACAAACCGTATAACAGGTACATCAAATCAATGCACCTCAAACTATTTCCTCTAGTAGTTCTTTGTTTCATGATTCAATACAACAAACCGTATAACAGGTACATCAAATCAATGCTCCACAGTTTGGTACAATTAAGGTCATGATTATTTCTAGAATAACATAATAATGAAGTTAAACTAACAACCTAAACTTTGGACACGTCTGCAGACTTAACTGGATTTCCGCAGGCCATATTAAATAAAAATCTATACTCATTTGCCTATTTCTACTAAAATGCAGCATTTGAAATGATAATTCTGATGTAACCTGCACATACAATGTACACTGGAACCTCTTTTTTTCACATTCAAAGCTAATTAATACTACAGTTCTTCACTCACTTTCTACCACCATATGATTAAAAGATTTAATTTAATTTTAGAAAATATAACACATAATATCTCACTTACTACTCATCTTGTTAAACTTTTTTATTTGTTTTATTTGATTTATTTTCATATAAAGATTTACTGATCAAGAACTGAAATTTTTAACACTTATCTGCATTTTACAAGTTTAATCAGTAATTAAACTTTGAAATGTGTTAGTGTTTAAGCCACATACTCAATAATATATCCAATATTGTTAATTCATAATGTTAGAAAAACATATAGGTTCAAGAAGTCTTGATAGAAATTAATAAAACCCTATAACCCAAGCACTTTCGAAAGATGGACCTTTCTTCTTCAGAAGCAAACTGGAAATGTTTGCCCCTTCATTCCAATATTGTTAAGTTATATATAATAGCTAACCAAGTGTAAATTTAAGCACAAACTCAGTGACATATCCAACATCATGAATAAGAATGACTACTTCAAACTCAAAGATGTGTTAGGATACTGTACAAGGTCAAAAAAGTTTTAAACTATGACAAATGTTATCGTGAGTTCATTACATAACCTAAAACAAACCTTTTTTGGTGGGTTATGGCGATTGTACTCCTCACTCCAAAGTTTCGCATCCATCTGTAACTTAACATCCTCGAAGTACACCTCCCTATTCACATTCACCATGTAACATTTGGCTACATAATTGGAAGCATGTTCCCAATTTTCATGAGCAAAGTTGGAGAGTTTCTTTCTAAAAATAACAAACATTTTTTAGACTTTCTGCATATTATTTTAAGTATCATATTTTACATTGTCCACTAACACTTGGTGGTGTACCTATCTTTTTTATCTGGACTGATTATCAAACATTCATGGTTGTGAAAAAACACAACAACATACCATTTTTCACTTTTCTTTACATAAGCACTGCTTTTTACAAACTTTTTAGTTTGACCCTTAATTAAAACTATAATTTTTGGCTAACTTCAACAACTACTGTTAAAAAAATTGCAAAGGTTACATATTATTTTCAAAGATTCTTTATTGATGTATAAGTTATATAAAAATTTCTATTTCATTAGATGACTAACATAATGTAAATTTATTTTTTCTCGCAAACACTTTTGTACAGAAAATATTCTTGCAATGCTCTGTAAGTTTGAAAGCGGCAACTAAATGTATTGTGTACAAAGTGATATCTGGTGTTAGAGTCAGGTGATTTAATCAATTACCTATTAGCAGTTATTATACTGATTAGTCATGCAAACTAATTGATTAACCAAAATTGATTGCTTTGCCTTTGTTATGGCAAAGTTACTACAGCTATCTGCTAGTGTCAATAATTTTAGGCAGTTGACTAGAGAATAAACAACCATTTTGCAGAACCCACTTTTTTCTTCTTGTTGAACTGCTGACTAGATGGAAGATAACTGGCTGGTTGCACACACTGCCAATAGTTTTTTTTTTGAGCTTCTGACTAGAGAGAAAGTAACTGACTGGCAGCACCCACTGCCAACATTGTTTTCTTTATTTACTTTTAACTGCTGACTAGATGGAAGATAACTGGCTGGTAGCACCCACTGCCAACATTGTTTTCTTTATTTACTTTTAACTGCTGACTAGATGGAAGATAACTGGTTGGCAGCACCCACTGCCAACATTGTTTTCTTTCTTTACTTTTAACTGCTGACTAGATCTAGATGGAAGGCAACTAACTGTCTGCTAATTTTATTTTTATGTTGTTGTAGCATCATAGTTTGGGAACACTGTACTGATCAATTACTCAAATGTAATTTATTAATGGGGCTATTGATTAATCAATTAACAAATAAAACTAATCACCCAGATCTGTTTGTTAATACACCTCTTTTAACCATTAATACATACTTAAAAAATATGACTTAATATATCAGTTTAAACACATTAAAACAAGCTTAACATAAATCAGTTTCCTTTAATAAAAAAAGGAACAAGGGCACTTAAATTAAGACTCATCTTTACAACAAAGAATTAAAGACTTCTAAGCAGAAAAGGATCAAGGGTACTTAAATTAAGACTGATCTTTACAACAAAGAATTAGACTTCTAAGCAGATAAGGATCAAGGGCACTTAAATTAAGACTGATCTTTACAACAAGGAATTAAAAACTTCTAAGCAGAAAAGGATCAAGGGCACTTAAATTAAGACTGATCTTTACAACTAAGAATTAAAAACTTTTAAACAGAAAGGGACAAGGACAGTTGTCTTTTGATTTTTGACTTTATAATGAAGAATTCAAAATGTTTTAAAGCTTGATCTCACAGCAATCTAAAAACGTAAAATATATAAAACTAGTTAGCCAAATACCATACCACATGGTTCTGTTCTTTAAATTTTAAAACATTCTTAATTATTTTAAGATTTCTAATACTACCAGAGAACATTCCAATAATTGTCTGTTTATCAACACTAAAAATATACATACACTCTAAAACAAGTCCTCATAGCTCCATGATTGAAAGGCTGTAAAAATACAACAAATGACATTCTTTAAAGTTGTTAAATAATTTTTTTAAGTTGATCAAACAATACATTTAACATATCAAAGTGAGTTACCTCTATTAGTACATGTAGTTAGGCACATTTAATTCAGACATAAATGAATTTCAAAATCTGGAAAGAAAAAATAACTTTTTCTGAAACTAGGTAAGGATATTTGACTATAAAGAAATAGAAAAAAATTTATTTTCACAACCTAGATACAAGTATCTGTTATTTATAAGCATCTTACACCACTACAGCTGCCGTGAAATTTAACAAATTAACTAACTTGGCAAGTTATTTTATATAACGTTTAAATGAAATACTCATTGTTTATTCTTAAACTACCATCAACTGATTCTCCTTTCACTATTAAAGCAATAAGTATCTTTCATAATAGATTTGTATACATTTTTTAAAGCTGGTTAAAATATTGTGTACTTAACCAAACTACACAGAATGCAAAACAAAAATTGACAAGTTACATCTATTTTTTTTTTCTTTTCTTCAGATATTTGTTATCAAAATGCTATAAACTTCGCACAACTGTTTTGAAGTATGACTTCATTACCTATTATTATGACCATAACTTCAAAATAGTACGTGTATATACTGTGAATATGATACTTTTATTATAATACTAAAAGATTTAAAATAAATTTTCGTTTTCATTTCCTTTCTAAAGTTTTACCTCTTTAGCCATCTTAATGGTAACTTCATCCACAACCCAATCTTTACAAAGTGCATTGTAACGGTAACGAGTGGCAGTTTCGACCTCCAACTTCTCTAGATGAAACTCCTTCCATGGATCTGCCATGTGGAGAGCTCGGTATGCTGCTGTCCTCCAGCGAAGACTAGTTGCTTTACAAGATTATATAATGTGATTTATTATTATCATGAAAACAGCAGAAAAATCATTACAAAACTGAACAGAATTCAAATTCTGCTTATATTCAAAATGTGCCCAGAAGATGTAACATGGACAATGAAAACAACTCATAAAGGTAGATTAACGACAAAAGACAGTTTGAAAGCTGTAGTAGTTAATTATAGGGTGACACTAGACTACCAACTTCATGAAACTACAAGTCTTGTGGGTAAGAACATCAGGTTGCACTTGGTCTATACAGAGAAGAAAAATAAATCATAATGACCCTTATTTTCAGTTTCTCTATTCTACATCATTAACTGCTGTACTTTATTAACTATTAATTTCTGCTTATCGAGGTTTCATACCACAAATCTTGTTTCAATTACGCAACATTCACTCCTGCTTATCAAGAGTCAATACCACAAATCTTGTTTCAATTATGCAACATTCACTCCTGTTTATCAAGAGTCAATACCACAAATCTTGTTTCAATTATGCAACATTCACTCCTGCTTATCAAGGTTCAATACCACAAATTTTGCCTCTATTATACAACATTCACTCCTGCTTATCAAGGTTCAATACCACAAATTTTGCCTCTATTATGCAACATTCACTTCTGTTTATCAAGAGTCA